ATATTGAAAGCTTGTAAGAGAAAAGAAACAAATCACCTATAAAGGAAAGCGCATCAGAATCACAGTAGACTTCTCAACACAAACCCTCACGTAAAGGAGAGCTTGAAGTGAAGTATTTCAAGCCCTAAAAGAAAAAAACTTCTAGCCCAGACTGATGTACCCCACAAAACTATCTTTCAAAATTGATGGAGAAATAAGATATTTCCATGACAAAGAACACCTGAAGAAATTCATGACCATGAAACCAACACTCCAAAATGTTCTGAAAGACATTCTAGAAAGAGATAACCAAGACTACAACTCCATGAATACCAACAGAATGAATCCACCAGGCAAAGCAAGCAATTAAACAGAGGAGGGGAAAAAAGGGAATCAACAACAGAAAAATAACATGACAAGGATAAGTCAATACATATCAGTTATAGCCATCAACATAAATGGTCTCAATTCACCAATCAAAAGAAACAGACTGACAGAATGCATCAAGAAGCAAGATCCAACAATATCCTGCATACAAGAAACATATTTAATTAAAAAAAATTCATAGACTGAAAGCCAAAGGATGGAACACAATACTCCATGCTAGTCAGGAACCAGGAAAAAAGCAGGGGTAGCTATTCTATTTATATTATTATTATTATTTTGTTTTTGGTACCGGGGATCGAACTCAGGACCTTGCACTCACAAGGCAGGTGCCTGAACCACTGAGCTAAATCCCCAGCCCAGTTATTCTATTTATAGACAAAGTGGATTTCAAGCCAAGTCTGATTAAGAGAGACAAAGAAGGTCACTGCATCCTTGTAAAGGGAACACTCCAAAAGGAAGAGATAACAATCATAAATATATATGCACCAAATGCCAGCACACCCAACTATATAAAACAAATATTAACAGACATGAAAAATCAAATAAGCACTAATACAGTTGTAATGGGGGACTCAATACCGCACTGTCACAAATAGATCACTAGACAAAAAAATCAACAAAGAAATAGCAGAATTGAACCAAACTTTCCAACAAATGGACTTAGTAGATGTCTACAGAGTATTCCACCCCACATTAGAATACACATTCTTCTCAGCTGCATATGAGACATTCTCCAAAATAGATCACATACTAGCTCATAGAAAATGCGTCAGTAAATGCAAAGGAATTTATATTATCCCATGCATATTATCAGACCATAGTGCAATGAAATTAGAAATCAGTGCCAAAAGAAACCACAAAAGCTTCATAAAAATAACACCCTTCTGAACAACCAATAGGTCATGGATGAAATTAAATAAGAAATTAGATAGTTTCTACAATTAAACAATAATGCCACTACAATACGCCAGAACTTATGGGACACAATGAAAGCAGTCCAACGAGGGAAATTTATAGGGGCGAATTCCCATATCAGCAAAACAGAGCAAGCTAGAAAATGAAGAGCAAGTCAATCCCAAAGCTTGTACAAAGGAGGAAACTATAAAGATCAGAGCAGAAATTAATGCAGTGGAGACTAAGAAAACAATAAAAAGAATCAATGAATCAATGAGTTGGTTCTTTGAAAGATTAAATAAAATTGACAAGGAAAGACACTAGTATTAAAGATGATATTTCCCAGGGATTCAATTCAGCTCAGTGGTTCCGGCGCCTGCCTCACAAGTGCAAGGTCCTGAGTTAGATCCCTGGTATAAAAAAAAAAAAATGATACTTCCAATCTTGAGTAAGGAACCAAATCCCTCAACATTCCCAGAAAGTAATTGTAATAAAAATGCATGTGATTTGGTTTAAATTAATTTGGTTTATCAATCAATCAATAAACTGACAAACCTTTAGTCAACCTTATCAAAAAAAGGAAAGACTTTGGGGCCAGGGATTTGGCTCAGTGACACTGTGCCTGCAAGGCAGGTGCAGGTCCTGAGTTTGATCTCTGGTACTAAAAAGAAAAAAAAAGGAAAAACTCAAATCCATGCAATTAGGAATGAAAAGGGCAAAATCACAATAGATCCTGTGGAAATCTATAAGACCATCAATACCTACTTTGAGAACCTGTATTCTAATAAGATGGAAAACACAGAAGAAATGACAGATTCCTAGATACATATGAATTACCAAAGCTGAATCAAGAAGATATAAAAATTCTAAATAAGCCAATATCAGACAATGAAATTGAAGATGTAATTAAAAACCTACCAACAAAGAAAAGCCCAGGCTCTGATGAATTCACTGCTGACTTCTATAGGATATTTAGAGAAGACCTAATGCTGCTACTTCTCAAACTCTTTAATGAAATTAAAAGGGAAGAAATACTCCCAAATTTACTCCCAGAAGCAAGCATAACCCTGATACCCAAACCAGAGAAGGATCCAACCAAAAAAGAGAGCCATAGCCCAATCTCCCTATGATGAAAATCCTCAATAAGGTACTGGCAAACAGAAGGCAGCAAATCATCAAGAAGATATACCATCGGGGCCGGGGATTTAGCTCAGTGGTTTTGTCGCCTGCTGCGCAAGCACAAGGACCTGAATTCGATCCCTGGTACCAAAAAAAAAAAAGAAGAAGATATACCATGACCAAGTAGGAGTCATCCCAGGGATGCAGGGATGATGATTCAACATACACAAATCAATAAAGGTAATACATCATATTAACAAAGCCAAGGACAAAAACCATATGATCATCTCAATAGATGCATCTCAATAGATCCAGAAAAAGCATTTGACAAAGTCCAATACCCATTCATGACTTTTAAAAACCCCACAGAAAATTGGAATAGATGGTCTTTATCTCAATCCTGATAAAAGCCATCTATGACAAAGCAACAGCCAACATCATACTAAATGGACAAAAACTGAAAGCTTTCACTCTAAAATCAGGAACAAGACAAGGATGTGCACTATAGCCACTCTTATTCAATATAATTCTGGAAATATTAGCCAGAGCAATTAGAAAAAGAAAAAAAAGCAATAAGGATAGGAAGGGAAAAAGTTAAATTATAATTATTTGCAGATGACATGATACTCTACATAGAAGACTCCAAAAACTCCACCAAAAGACTTCGAATTTTAATAACCAAATTCAGTAGCATAGCGGGGTACAAAGTCAGTACTCAACCAATCAATAGCATTCCTGTACACAAATAACAAACTCATTGAGAGAAATTAGGGAAAAAACACTTTTCACAATAACATCCAAAAAAATGAAATACCTAGGATTCAATCTAATGAAGGGAGTAAAAGACCTTTACATTGAATACTATAGTACTCTGAAAAAAGGAGATCGAAGACAATATCAGAAAATGGAAAGATAGGGGCCGGGGATTTAGCTCAGTGGTGCCAGTGCCTGCCTCGCAAGCGCAAGGTCCCAAGTTTGATCCCCTGTACCAAAAAAAAAGAAGGATAAGCTTGGGACATTTCTAGCTAAATGGATGCACATTGAGACCATACTCTTCAGTGAGATAAATCAAACCCACATGTTTAAATACCTCATTGTTTCTCTGGTGTGAGAAACCAAAAGTGGAAATAGGGACCAAAATGTATAATAGATATTGAGAAACAGGGAGAAAATGTTTAAATGAGAAGGGGAACAAGGGAGGGGGAAGGGGAAAAGGAAAGAAGGGACAAGAAAAAAGGAATAGAAGGAAAAAATGGAAACAAAGCTTTTATAAATAAAGAGGGGAAGAAAGGTTGGACGGAGAGGAGGGGAATGGGGAAAAAAGAAGCAAGATATATCACATGCAAGTACAAATTCCCTATAATGAATGTTATCATTATGTATATCTAAAATGTACCAATAAAAATAGAAATTTGTTGAAAAAAATTACATTTTATTTTCTAAATCAATTTAAATTTTCCACAAGTTCCTATTTCCCAGCATATGGAAAAATTCAAGTTCCATTTTGCTGCAGAGGGCTTTCTGTCTCCCCTAGAGGCCACCAAATGCCTGTGTTAGTGAACGTGAGCTCCATGTCTTTAGGGGATCTGTTGTTGCAGTGTGAGGGGCTGTGTCCCATTCTGTGGCTTGGTGACAGCACACCTAGCTCTGAGTGTTCTGGCACACCCCAGATTGCCCCATTGGGGTTCTGTGTGAGGCAGGGTCTCTGCTGTGAGCAGAAATACGTACATCGCCACCAGTTACCCCCACAGGGTCACCTTGTAGTCTAGACTTTTCCCATTCTCTGGGGCTCTTAGGCACCATTCCTTACTTTTTAGAAAACAAAGAAAAGCACCGGATTTCATTTGGGGACAAAGGAGTCCGAGGTTTCTGGGTTCTATAGCTGACTGCCCCATGTGACGGAGAAGGGGTGAGGAATATTTGGGTGTGGCAAACTGGCTGAGAAAGTGGGTGTTACCCATCAATCACTGAGATTCAGGACTTAGGCAGAAAAATAGTTCCAAGACCTGCCCATGGGACCAGAGAGTGCTATCTTGAATTATTCTCCCAGAAATCAAGCAGGTTTCTGATAGGCGGCCTAAATCTGTGGGCAGCCGTGTGGAGTAGGGGATACAAGAGAGGTGGCCTTTAAGCTCTGGGCCACTGTTCTCTCACTTCTCCAGTGGTGAACTCTCACCCTGCAGAATGTACTTCTTTTCCTATCTTTAATACATTTAATAAATGTAAAACCTCACTTCAGTACTTTTTGCAGTTGTCTTAACCAGCCAATTCTTATTCAGGATGATAAGAACCTAGAAAGCATCTCTAAGAGTCCATAGCATTCCAGAACCCTGGTAATAGAGGCATTTTTACTTTTTGTAATTGGTCTAAAGCACTGTCTGTGGTAAGTCCAGGTGTGCCTGGTTTGTGTATGACATGATGAACTGTAGTTTTTTGGGGGGTTTTTTGTGCTGGGGATCGAACTGGGGACATTGCACTTGTGAGGGAGGGGCCGGAACCACTGAGCTAAACCCCCGGCCCTGATCAACTGTAGTTTTTATGTGGTATAGGTACACATAAGTGCCATGTGAGATGGCATTCAGAGGAACAGCTTGTAAAATAATTTACCAATAGACAAGGCATGTAGAAAAGAGGAAAGTTTATTTAGATCAAGGCATGCTACCAAGGGAGATGAGGAGGAGTTTCAATTTTTCAAGAGATGAACTGGGGCCGGGGATTTAGCTCAGTGGTGATGTCACCTGCCTCGCAAGCGCAAAGTCCCAAGTTAGATCCCTGGTACCAAAAAAAAAATTTAAAAAAATAGAAGTAAAAATATATCCTCAAACCCTAATCTCTCACCCTGATTACACAGTTCATCTCTTGTTTTATTTTGTTTTTTGCTACCGGGGATCGAACTTGGGTCCTTGCGCTTGCGTAGGAGGCGGCGAAACCACTGAGCTAAATCCCCGGCCCAAGAATATATATATATTTTTTAAAAGGGTCTAGACAGCAAGTGTGATTATCTAAAGAATGCCTTCTCCTGGGTCATTTAGCACCTTACAAATCTTCAGGGAGCATGCTTACTGACGCACATTATTGAGTTGTTCACAGTTGTAATTTTGACAAGACTGTTTCCTTATGCCTTTGCTTTAGATAAGCTGATGAGGAGGTCTATACTTATCTTTTCTGTTTTGTTTTGTTTTTTGAGACAGGGTCTCACTATATAGTTCAGGCTGGCCTCCAACTCTTGGCAATCCTCCTGCCTCAGCCTCCTGAGCGCTAGGATTACAAGTGTGTGCCACCAAGCTCGGCTATACCTATCTTTTTTTTTTTTTTTGTACTGGGCATCAAACTCAGGACCTTTCGCTTGCAAGGCAGGCGCGGTGCCACTGAGCTAAATCCCTGGCCCTGAACCTATCTTTTAAAGAAGATGGGTTGGGACTCTGGGAGGAATGAATGGGTCCTATATCAAAAGGTCTGTTGCTGTTTTATGACTGCCTACTGACAGCCTAAGTTCTTTAACTGGAATTCCTTTGTTAAGGGTTTTAACTGCAGTTCAGCCATTAAGGGTTTTAATCCATTTCATTGCCGATAGGTGGCCACTACAATAAGATCATACTCAGTACGGCTGATTCTAAAGATGAAAAGTCCCTGGGGCCGGGGATTTAGCTCAGTGGTTTCGCCGCCTGCTGTGTAAGCGTAAGGACCCGAGTTCGATCCCTCGTACCAAAAAAAAAAAAAAAAAGAAATGTCCCCAAATCACAGCTGCCCTTCAGAACAGAACCGCCAAGCCCACACACCTCGGTGGTGCACCTCCCGGAGGCTGTCACATATCTGAACACCCCAAGCGGTCTGTGATCAGTGCCCGCCTATCCGCCCCAAGTGCATACCGCTTCTGGGGACCCGAGACAGCGCACGTGGACGCGAAATCCTTTTAGCTAGCAGCGGCCTTGGCCTAGAATGGACGGTTCGAAGGCTCGGCGACGCCTGGCTCGACCTGTGGGGCAGTTGGGATTACTAAAACACGGGCTAGGCAGGAGGCCACGTGCGGAGACCGAGCGTCGGTTAAGTGGAAGAGTCACGCTCCTTGGGGACCCCGACGAGGTCCCGCAGAGGCCGACGGTTCTGGGAAGAGTACCCAGAAGGCCATGTATTTGCAAGGTCACGAGAGGGCAGGCGTCAAATCCTCATCCTGGAGTCCCTTAGGCCTGTGCGGGCCGCTCCGGGCCGACCTAGTCCGAGAACCGGAATACACCTTACCTGCCACTGTTAGCCGCGCGGCTCGATTCGCCAAGGCGGGACGGAAAACTACACTTTCCGGCATGCTCTTGTTGGCGCCGGGGCGGGGCCTGCGACGGAAGAGCCTTCGTAATTTCCGTTGCGCGACTGAGCTCACGTTCTGTAGTCGTGAGCCGAGCTCTAGTATGGCGTCCGACTTCCGGTTCCGTGGGACGGAAGTGACGTGTTACGGCACGTCGAGCTAAGAGCAGAGGGCGAGATGAGTCGTGTGTTGTGTGTTTCGGTTGCCGGGTGAGCCACGTGAGATCTGGGCTGGCCAAGGGTGGGAGACAGCAGGCGGCAAAATGCGGGTGGGAGAAAGCAGGCGGGAGGAACTGTCCCTACATTCCCTCTTTTAGGTCTTCCCGGGCGCTGAGGCTTGTGGGCTGGGCTTTGCGAAATTTACATCTACCTCCCAGTGACCCGGCTCGGGGCCAGCCTCCCGCCGAGCAGGAAGAAGACCCCAGCCGTCCCATTCAGTTTTCCTCAAGCAAAGCCAACCCGTCTCGCTGGACGGTGAAGGACTCCTTTGGAAAGGGGCAGCAGCGGCCTTGGTGGAAAGTGCTGCCCCTCAGCTTCTCCATTATGGCTCTGATCGTCTGGTGCTATCTCAGAGAGGAGAGCGAAGCGGACCGGTGGTTGAGACAAGTGTTGGAAGAAGAACCGGAGCCCAGTGATCGTCCTGAGGCGCCTGAAACTCCGGCTGTCTACGGGGCGAGAACTTAATAGGGTGCGTGCTGGGGCTAGCAAGAAGGAAACAACCAGCCGCCCTTTGAAATTATTTGATGTTGCTTTTGACGGTTTCTGTCCTGGCTCTGCGTGTGTCTTCGGCCCAAAAGGACTCAGTTCGTGCCCTTAGCGCTGACAAGCGTGAAGGCAGAGCAGAATGTCAGCAATTTGTAATCTGCCCCTTGTCTGACACCAGTGTCCAAAAGACTTTTCAGAGCCACATAAGTGACTTTGGTTGCACTGGATGTTACTGAATTTCTGATGTCTTTGTACAGCCTAATCATGTTTCCAACGCAGTTCTGGTGACACTTGTAATCCAGTGTTAATTTGCAGATCATTTGCTTTCCAAGACAATAACTGGTAGAAGTGTTAAACTTTATAATTACCACGTTCGGGATAAATAACAGTTGATGTTTTCGAGATGGAATAACTGGCAGAAGTGTTAAACTTTATAATGTACTGTGTTGAGTATAAATAACAATTGATGTTAGTGTTGCACACTAACTGAAAATATATTTTGATAAGGTTGAACTAGGGTGATTATTTTCTTTTTCCATTTTGTTAAAAAACTTTAAAAAAGTGGTGCCGCCACTTGTCTTGAAAGGGCAAGGTCCCAAGTTCAATCCGTGGTACCAAAAAAAAGTATTGTAGTAGGCTAGCAGCCTCAACTCTGTTTTCCTCCCTCTCCCTCCTCCCAAATGAGAATTTAGGAAACCTAAATGTAAATTGTGGTACACAATCAAATGGTACCAGAAAGAAGGAACTTACTCAGCTTTCTGCAAAGCCTTAGCAAGGCAACAATTTGCTAAGTAAAATATACTGATAGGTATTTTTCAGGGCACTAGTTTGGAGCCAGGTGTGAGGTGTGATGATGCACACCTGTAATCCCAGCTACTCTGGAAGAAGGCAAGAGGGATGGCAAGTTTGAGGCTACCAGCCTATGCAACTTCAGAGACTGTCTTTAAAAAAACCCAGAGTGGTTGCAGTTCCTGGGTTGAATCTCCAGCACCCCTCTCCTAAAGGCACTATTTGGGGTTAGCCTAAGTAATGTCTTTTCTCAAGCATTAATGAAAAAACCTTGCATCTAATTCTGAATTAAATGTAAAATGTATGAAAGGAAACCTTTATTAAGGTTCTAGGGGAAGTTCTTTTTTTTAATGTGTTTGTGGTGCTGAAGGTAATGAATTTCTCTGATGGAGATATTTGAAGAAAAGGATTTTGTCTACTCACTATCCTTTCACAAGAGACTCCACACAAAGTGCTCTAATGGATTGGCACCTTTGTAAGTTATGAGATAACTAGGTTGAATACAAACATCAGTGAGTACCTCAGTTTCATTTATTTGTGCTTCATGGTTATTTTTCTGGACTCTTAGTTTTGTTTTTGGGGTTTTTTTTGAGACAAGGTCGCGCTGTGTAGCCCAGACTGGCCTAGAACTCATGGTGATCCTCCTGCCTCAGCCTCCCAAGTGCAGGGATCACAGGCATGTGGTACCGTGCCCGACCTGAACTCTTAGATTTTTGTGACATTCCTTAAGTTAATCAAGATGTTGCATTCTTCCACAAGTGTGGGGATAAATCATGATGCATCTTTAGGTGGTAATGGATCACAGCAGTGTAAACAACACTTGGCCACACTGGGAAGGCTGAAACGGGTCCCTATGAAGACCAAGACCCTCAGGCTGGCTGAGTGGGAGCCACTAGCCATATTGCCCCACAAGAAGCAAACCAGGCATGTTCAATTTTTTAAAAGGTGAGACAGATTTTGAAAGATTAACCTTAGCTCAGGTCACGTGGTCCCAGTGGGAACAAAGAACTAAGATGTTTCCTTTTTGGTCTGGTATGGTTGTGACCTGTTTGGTTGTGAACTATTTTGTTTGAAGTTACTGAAACCCAGACTTCTACTTTTTATTCTTAGTAGGTCTTGCGTGGAAGGGGTGTGGGGGAAAAGTCAGAACTAAGAGAACTGTTAATTGAAAACAATCTTTTTCTTTTCTCTTTTGTGGTGCTGGGGATTGAACCCAGAGACTTGTGGATGCTAAGTAAGCACTTTACCACTGAACCTTCAGTGCTAAAAGTAATTTTCTTATGACAAAAACAACATATCTGTTTGTTTTCTGGAAAAGTTAAGACACTAAGAAGAGGATTAGAAACACCAATAATCTCACCACCCCGGGGTAACCACTGTGAATACCATGTCATTTACCTTTCCAAATTGTTTTCATGTATATACCATTTTTCAAGAACATGGGGGAATTTTTTTAAATTTAGAAAATTTTTTGTGGTGCTGTGTATTGAATCCAGGGCCTTGTGCCTGCACACACACATAACTTGGGGATTGAACCAAGGAGTGCTCTACCACTGAACTAATATCACCCCCCACCCCCTTTGAGACCTGATCTGGCTAAATTGCCCTGGCTGGGTTGTGTTCCTCTTCAGTAGCTGGAATTACAATAAATTTTATTTTATTCCATCCCCCCCCCCTCAAGCCCCTTCCCCTCCATATGTACAAAAGCTTTGTTTCCATTTTTTTCTTCTGTTTTCATTTTTCTTATCCTTTCCTTTCTCCCTTGTTCCCATTTGAACACTTCCCATTTCCCAATATCCATTATACATTTCAGTCCGTATTTTCACTTTCAATTTCTCACCAGAGAAACAAAGAGGTATTTAAACGTGTGTCTGATTTAGTTCACTTAAGATTATGGTCTCGGGCCGAGGATTTAGCTCAATGGTTCCAGCACCTGCCTTGCAAGTGGAAGGACTCGAGTTCAATCCCCGGTACAAAAAAAAAAAAAAAGTATGGTCTCAAGGTCCAACCCATTTAGCTATAAATGTCTGAAGTTCATCCTCTATGGCAGAGTACTACTTAATTGTATTAAAAAAAAACAACACATCTTTATCCACTTGTCAGTTGATGGGCATGGGGCTGTTTCCAAGATTTAATTATTACAAACCGTAGTAGCTGGAATTATAGACGGAATATATTATATTATAATTATAGCTGGAATTATACCACCATGTTCCTCTGTTCCAGATTTTTTTTCATTCCCTGCACCTAGACCATGCTTTTTGAGATATCCTCTGAAGGACTCACTGGCCCTTCTGTGTTTCATTTTCCTGCTTGATTTACTTTGAAAATACCATGTTCTTGATTTTTTATCATTTTATTTTCAATATTTAAATGTAATGTTTGTAGAGGTGATAATCCATTGAGAAAATGTGACCATACTCATCCTACCAGCAAGTGGTAATTTTTTATTTTACTGTATTTAAAACAACACATGCTTGGACCGAATGATCTTTGAACATAAATCATTGAGTCTGATATTCTTCAGGTCGGTGTTCCTAGCAACGGAACAAATTATTTTCCATAAAAGTCAGGACCTTGTCCTCCAGCCATACTTCTTTCAGGACATCTCTGGCAGGTATTACAGGTTGCAGCTCAGGAGAGGAAACCCTCAAAACACCTGCGAATTCTGTGGGTATGGCGTAGATTTTGCATCTAAAATGTTTCATGCCACATATTTACGAATTAACACACTCTAGCCCTGGGTTCTCCCTCCTGGACACACCCCGGCTGAGTCGGGACGCTGTGCATCCCCGCCCACTTCGCTGTTATAAAAAGCAGCTCTGTTGAAATAGAATTCATCTACTTAAAGCACACAATTTAAAAATGTTTAAGTGGCCATCCCTACCATCAGGTTTTAGGCCTTTTCGTGCTAACAGCAAAGTTGTCAGGGAGCAGTCCCACTCGTACCCATTCCAGAGCTGGGAACCCGCACCAACTGGCGTGTCCACGCCCACGCCTGCATCAGGTGCGCGCCGCGCGCTGTAGGGTCCCAGCGGCGCCGGCGGGGGCGTGGCGGAACGGGGAGTGGCTGG